GAACTAGTGCCAAGACTAGGAGATGTCAAACTCATCTCTTGCAAGTGGATCTACAAAATAAAGCGTCGACCAGATGAATCAATCGAGAGATATAAGGCACGAATCGTAGCTCGAGGGTTTTCTCAACAATATGGACTAGACTATGATGAAACATTCAATCTAGTGGTAAAGATCACTACCGTACTCGCGACAAGTAAAGATTAGAAACTGTGGCAAACGGATGTGAGTAATGCATCTTGCATGGAGCATTAGACAGGGAGATTTATATGAACCAACCAAAGAGATTTGAGAATACAGCTAATCCTAATCACGTATGTAGGCTTAAAAAAAGCTCTTTGTGGACTGAAGCAAACACCAAGAGTTTGGTATAGTAAAATTGCTGAATTTCTTACCCAAAGTGGTTATTCAGTTGAGCATGCAGATTCAAGCGTGTTCATCAAAGAAAGAGAAGGAAAATTAGCAATTGTGTTGGTCTATGTGGACGATTTGATTATCACCGGGGTCGAGGAAAGTGAAATTTATCAAACAAGAGAAAATTTATCAGTGCGCTTAAGATGAAAGAGCTAGGAGAGCTTAAACACTTCTTGAGCTTAGAAGTTGATTGCACAGATGAAGGATTGTTTCTCTGCCAAAAAAAGTATACAAGAGATATGCTTCAGAAGTTTAACATGTTAGAGTGCAAGCAAGTTTTAACATCGATAGAGACGAATGCCAAGATTTGTGCACATGGAGGTGTTACTATAACACGTGCAGAAGCAATTTGGATCTGAGGCACTCAAGTACATTAATTATAGTAAATTAGAAAGCATGTTCAAAAGCATTAAAACTCAATGAGTTTGAATACTAACCTTTTGTAGTTCAAATTTCTTTTTTCTCACGACCTAGCTTCGAACGACCACTAGTGTCTTCCCTACTATTATCCGACCTTAGAGCGAGATTGTTGAACCCGGTAAGTGACTAAACTTGATAGGAATTTAGTACATGTAAAGAGAGTGTTGAGAGATTTTCTCAAAATTTTTCAAGAAGAATTTTCATGTACCTTGATCACTCTATTTATAGAGTCATATTTGCATGTTCATGCAAATTTGAGATTACCAAATTTTGACATTCACAATTCCGCTCAAATTATGTGACAAGCATGCAAGTTTGAGCTAAACAAATTTTGACACTCAAATTTATGGGGTTTATTTGGCAAATATGCATGTTTGGTTAAATCAAATTTTGACACTCAAAATTTCACTCAAGTTTGTGGGATTGTGTGGCAAACATGCAAGCTTGGTTAAACCATATATTGACACTCAATATTCCACCGACTCAAACATGAATTTTTCCATTAGATGAAGTCAATATTTTGACTTTCTTTATTTTAATTCAACAATTAATTTAAATAATTAATTTCAAATTAAATTAACATTAAAGGATTAATTAAACAATTTAATTAATATTTAACATTAAATCAAATGCAAATCCCAATCAATTCTAACAATTAAAATATGCCAGCCTTATTTAAATATCTCCAATTCTCTCTTTTTGTTTAATTCATAATTAAAACAAAATGCGGTTAAATATATCTTATATATTTAGCGTATATTCCCTAATTTGAATTCGAACACTTTGAACTCACTCGTCACACTGTTCTAAGGTTTAGTTCGATATGAACTAGCATGGGGACTTAATGGACCTACAGATCATGGGCTCCAACGATTCGAGATTAACGGACTAAACTCATTAACCTTGTTAACCAACATTTGTTATCTACTAGGACGCTCCACTATAGCCTAGTAGTTGCACTCCTCTCACTATAGATATATTTTTGTCCATTTGATATAACCATGATTAGTAAGTCAATCCTTTACAGGTTGTTCGTAACTAGAGCTGGGTCAATTTACCGTTTTACCCCTAACTTACTTCTTGTTCCTCAAGTCCCACTAATCCTCTACTGAACGATTGTTTTGTGATCGAACCACCAAACCGAATCCCTCTTGGGCCAATGAGAGTGTGGGGCGCCTTGTTCAAGACCTGAAGTCAGTACTTAAGGGAACAACCTCTCTACTATCCCTAAAAGCGGGTAGGAGTGAATTCAATCTTAACACCCTATGTCCCTAGTTATTCACCTAGTCTTACCCCTGAAATGGGAGGCTTATTTAGTCAGCGAACTCGGGCCACTCTAACCCATGCAAATCTAAGGATAATTCCGAATAAACAAGAGTTTATAGTGAACTCAGGATTAAGATCGAGTTACTTAGGTCATCGAATGAAAAAATCAGTCTCAACAGTAAACAACATTATAAAGTGAGAGTGGTTTTCTTCATGGTTCTATCTTATGCAATACTCATTGCTTAGGACGCCCCCACTCACATGTCTCCACGTGTACAATTTAGTGATCACAATGTTTATATCATATACAAAAGTGGACCGCATCCATAGTGTCCTCAAAATGAGGTACTCGGTCTTATCCCTATACTATAGATCATTTTGACTATATACTTGAACTTGATCCACTCTTTTGTCTCTATATGTAGTTCAAGTAATCATACTATAGCTAGAGTGCTATTAGCTTATTGGATTTAGATTAATGATCGTAAAATTCACTTTATTTAATAACAATCTTTACTGAATAATCATCAATAATAACTTTATTTAAAACAGAATATGTTTTTGTTTAAAAATTATGAGTTTTAGGACATAAAGCCAACAAACTCCCACTTGTACTAAAACTCTAATGGGGTTTATTAATGTTGAGTAGAGAGAAAGATATAAATACAATGAACTAGGGCATCGCATACCCATGCATTTTCTCCCACTTGCCCTAGATTACATAAGTCTTAGTCCTAGACTCACTATGTGCCCTTCAAACACTTTAGCAGCGAGGGGCTTTGTAAATGGATCAACAATGTTGTGCCCTGAAGCTATCTGTGTGACGATCACATCTTCTTATTGCACAATCTCCCTTATGAGATGATATTTGCGCTCAATATATTTTCCTCGCTTATGGCTTGTTGGTTCTTTGGAATTTGCAACTGCTCCACTGTTATCACAATAAAGAGTTATAGGCAGATGCATATTTGGAACGACTTTCAAATCAAGAACTTCCTAAGCCATACTGATTCTTTCGCTGCTTCACAAGCAGCAACATACTCAGCCTCCATGGTGGAATCAACAATGCAACCTTGATTTATATTTTTCCATATTATTTCTCCTCCGTTCAGAGTGAAAACAGATCCCGATGTCGATTTCCTCGAATCTATATCGGTTTGAAAATCTAAATCAGTGTACTCTATAAGGATTAGATCCTTAGTGTCGTACTTTAGCATATAGTCCCTCGTTCTCCTAAGATACTTGAGGATATTTTTAACGACAGTCCAATGAGCATGTCCCGGATTGGACTGATATCTGCTACAATTCCTGCAGCATAGTGGGTAGTCTTATCTACCTAACTTTAACTTGGCCTGATATTTATTATGCAGTTGGGGTCATGAGTCGGTACATGCAAAGTCCAAAGAAGCCTCATTTGGCTCGATGGATCTTGATATATGTCAAAGGTACAATTGACTATGTTCTTCTGTACAAAAGAAGCAAAGACTGCAAGTTAGTTGGATATTGTGATGTTGACTATGCAGGAGACCATGATACTCGGAGATCAACCACTGGGCATGTGTTCAAGTTTGGTTTGGGAACAATTGATTGGTGTACCAAAAGACAACCAACAGTATCATTGTCAACTACTGAAGTAGAGTATAGAGCAGCAACTGGAGCAGCTCAGGAAAGTACATGGCTGAACCTCTTGATGAGAGATTTGCACCAAAAAATAGACCATCTAATATCACTTTATTGCGACAATCAATCTGCGATTCGCCTAGTAGAAAATCCAGTGTTGCATGCTAGAACAAAGCATGTGGAGGTACACTAACATCTCATTAGAGAGAAAGTCTTGAAGGAAGAAGTCGAGATGCGACAGATCAAGACAGGTGACCAAGTAGCAGACTAGTTTACAAAAGGGCTTAATACGGGCAAACATGAGAGCTTTCGCTGTCAGCTCAACATGGTGCAACGAATGAAGACAAGTGTTGAGGGGCAGTGTTAAAATATCATCACTAGCCCAATAATTGTAGGAGCTCATATATATATATTTATTTTAGAAAAATGATTTAGGTAGGTTAGGAGTAAAGATAATATCTAAAATGATTCAGCTATTTTAGGAATAAATATACAAAATATTTTTTTTAGAGATATTTTAGGAAAAAGGTTGAGATATTTCAGGAATAAATTGTGTGACCTCCATTCTAAATACCCTCCACCCTACCTAGGTTTTCATCCCAAAAAATATAAAACAAGAGTATCTACAAAGTGCGTTGTAATCTCTTTTCAATTTGTGTTAATAAAAAGTTCAAATGTTTTTCACATAGAATTTTGTTCAACAATATTATTTATTAACTCAATGTCGAAAACTCACCTAGGTTGAATTGGACTTAGAGAAGCAGATCTAAGCTAATTCCGAGGATAATTTGTACTCGACGTAGTACAACAAATTAATAACTTCACTAATAGCTTGATTAGATGAGTGGTTTGATGCATGAACAACATGTGCGTTGTGCCATGGGGGGATCTATCCGTTTAGCATATCACAGCATGGCCTTAGATAGTTTTTTCGTTCGGGCAAGATTGGATGTGTAGTACTTGTATGCACAAAGCCCATGTATGTGAGAATGGACCCATTAGGTGGGCTAAGACAATGTAACGCAAGAACAAAAAAAACAAATAAAAAAAAAGAAAAAAAAATGGGGGGCTAAGTCAATTAAGGGGCAAAAATGTCATTTTGCCCCTCCAGCCATAATAGGGGTCCAAGGAGAACCCCGTCAGATCCCCTGCAAAAGAAAGAAGGAGATAGAGAGAAACTGGAGAGAAGTCAGCCGGGAAGATTAACGGACCACCGCCGGAATCCATCCTTAGACGAGACTCGTACAAGGATTTAGAGGCTAGCAAGGTCGATGCTCCGTCAGGACCCAAGAACATTTCGCGAGGTAAGGTTTCTGAACGAAATTTCTCAGATCTGAGTCTTTCCTACGTGAATCGATCCTAAAATGCTGAAATCTTCACCTAGGAACAACTCACGCACGGTCTGTGAAGAAGTTTGGCCGAGACCTCAACCCAAAGGTAGAGGTCCGAGAGTCGTCCGAGAACGGTGAGCGAACTTCCGACGTTCTTAACTCATTCAGTAGTCAAACAAAAAATTATAAATAAAATACTAGGACGTAGCACGTAACACGATCTAGAACTTTGCCAAAGGAATCATATCGATCCGATCTACGGATCGAAAGATATGAAAATCAGAAAACGGTCTGTGTTTCAGTTTTCAGAGGACAGAGAAGAAAGAAGAAAGAAAGAAAGAAAAAAAAGGGGCGGCCGGCGAGCGGCAGAGGGCGGCGACAGGCGCCGGACACGCGTCGACCATCGGCTAGAGCAACGCAGCTCTAGCAAGGCGTCGACACGTGTCGCCTGCAAGACGAGCCGAACCGCAAACGCGAGCCGATTGGACCGGCCGACCCACAACTATGCGGAAGCGGACGCGCATGGCAGACGCACGTGCAGCCTGCGACTGGCGCCTTCCTGCACGTGTGACCACGCACTACTAGCGCGCTGCTGGTGCGTAAGCGTGCATGGAATGGCCAATTTGGCCTGGTTGTTTTCTGTTTGCCTGATTTTTGTCCCGGTTCCAGTTCTAATACTATTCTTACGTTTATAGGGACCTAATTTAAAGAAATCAGTATTTTTGGACACCTCACGGGCAAAGAAACGCTAGCAAAAAGGGCATGCGTCAACCAGGTAAGTCACCACCCGGTATTTAGGAAGAAATACTTGTAGGATTTGCTTGGATTGCATGCATGTTAGTAGTTTTGCTTCAAGTTAGCTCTCCATGTAAATTATTAGTCAGATTAATTGTTATAATTGTATTGGGTGAATTACATGAGTGTTGCTGTATGCTTTATGCTTCCGCCGTATGTATGCATGCGTTTAATTTATGTTAGAATTGTGTATGCCGTGTTCCGGGTGCTTGATGGACGAATTTGCCCCATTAAGCGTGAACTTCGTGCTCTGGGTGCTTGATGGAGGTCATCGCCCCGTTGAGCCGGTATGCCTAGTTTGCATGAATTACATACTATGATGTTAGAAGAAGGTTGCATGCACACTCTGTTAATTGCTAGGGCCCATTTCTATGATAGGCTTAGGGGATTACTGTTAGTAGCGATATGTCGCTCTAGCAAGACTTAATTTTCCCTTAGGAACTTAGTGGTTTACCACGACAACAAGGTATCTCGGAGTGTTCATGGATTGCTAGCGTGAGAACGGTATCTATAGCTTTGTGGGAGGACCAAGGGTCCCTGATCAGTCCTTACTACTCTTAGCCATTTCGCATGGGAAATGTATCCCCACGTCGTGCAGCCCATTAGCAGCATGGGAACGGGTTGGGTCGCACCCCCCATAGGGTGACTATATGAGCGTAGGGGTATCCAGCACACCCTTAGGCTAGGTACCATGTAGTCCTAGATAGCCATGTAGAGGTAGTGCCTCATAGAGAGATACCGACCATATAAGCTTGGCGTAAGAAACCTCTAGGCGTTTAATGAATGGACGATGAACCAGTGAAACCCAAGGGGCAAGCCTCAAGAGACTAAGATTAAAACCAGATGTCCTAGAACCGAATTAGGAAACCGTGGGAACCTATTAAATTAGGATGCGAAGAGAGCGTACAAGTAGGTGGCTTACTGAGTATAATTTTTATACTCATCCTTGCTATGTTTTCCTTTTTTTTCAGGAGCGTGAGGCATCGCTCAAGGGCGGGCGTGATGGAGGCGGGGATTGTCATAGAGGAATGGGTTGTCTCGGGGCGTCAGTCCAGTCCTTATTTTGTATTTGCATTCTTTCAAAATTTATTTTGTTTTGTCTATTTGTTGTCCAAAAAATTTATTGGAATTTAAGGATTTTCTCTACTTCATATTTAAAACACTTCATGCATTCGTATCTTGTCGCTAGTCATGATCCGCAATAAAATATTGGGTCGTGACAAATTTAGTATCAGAGCAGCCAGGTTATAGGTCCTGTAGACATTTAGGATAGAGAGTCGTGTCCTCTGTGACTTCGCTCGTCAATCACATGCCGCTCACAACCAGACGTTCTCACGCGACGGAAACATAGAGACAAAGGTTAAGCTAGTACTTATAGAGTATACCATGACCAACTATGGCATTATAATCGCACATTCTGTAGGAGATGTGTCAAGAATGAATTGTAACCATAGTTCTTTTTTCTATTGTGGTAGATAATGGCACCAAAGAGACGAGAACCATATGTAGGGCCCGGACCCAGAAGGGGAAGAAGAGAGAAAGTTCAGGATACCTCGGTTCCAACACCTAAAGAGGAACAACCTGAATTGTTGGAGGAGGTTGGGGATACGCCCCAAACTAGCGAGGGGACATAACCACAGCCATCAAGAACAAAGAGACACCGAAGAAGGCCAAGGCCCGAGGACTGCTTGATACACCCCCTACTGCTCCCTTCTCTGAGGAGGTCCCATCGGGTCCAACCCCGTGTACAGCAGTCCTGCTAAACCAGCCACTAGCCATGCCCTCAGTTGAGATGTTTCAGACGTTCATGATGACGTCGATGGAAAATCAGGCTCTGACGAACCAGATGATTCAAACCATGATGTCTAATCAGTGAACAGGGCAAGGGGGCAAGGATTCAAGGACTATGACTGTGGAGTCCCGCTACTTAAGAGATTTCTAGAGGCATAAACTGCCTTCCTTTGACGGAGGTAAGGTGGATCCCATTGTCGCCGAGAACTGGCTAGAGGCCATAGAAATGGCCTTCCATTTTATGAACTGCCCGCCAAAGTATGAGGTCCATTGTGGGACGTATATGCTGAAAGGAGAGGCGCACTTCTGGAGGAAGGATGCTCAGAAGAACATTACATCACAAGGAGAGTTTATTATGTGGTGCCAGTTTAAAAATGCGTACCTCCACAAATACTACCCAATCACTGCCAGAGTGAAAATGCAGGCAGCATTCCGCGCACTGAAATAGGGGAGACAGATTAGTGGAGGAATATGACTTGGAGTTTAATAGGTTGGCAAGGTCTTCTGCAGCCTATGTTAGTTCTGAGGAGTTGAAGGGCGAGCAATTTATCGCTGGCCTGAGGGAGGAACTAAGGGGGAATGTTCCATCCCAGTCATCCTTCGTCTATACGAAAGCCCTTCAAGTGGTGACCCTGCTCGACTCGCCCCGCACCGACAAGCTGCAGTTGGGAATAGCTCAACCATCCCACACTGCAGCCTAGGGAAGGGTGACAGACCCTAGCCACCCCAGAACTGGTAGACTGCCCCCTGGCCGCACTGATAAACGAAGAAGGGCCCCGATACGGAACAGGACCCTTTGTCCTAATTGTTAGCGTCCTCACACGGGGGAATACAGAGCAGGAACAGGTGCCTGTTATAGATGCGGTAAGGTAGGAAACTTTGCAGTAGATTGCCCTCAGAGGAATGATCAGCGTGTCAACTGACCTGCAGTACAACATCAGAGGGGCCAAGCTGCTCAATAATAGCGGGGGCGAGCTATAGCCCATGCAACAACAACCAGGCAAGTTGACCAGCCTGACGCAGTTGTTACAAGTACGCTACCCGTATTTGGTCATCTTGCTTTATTATTGTTTGATTTGGGTTCGACACATTCATTCGTATCTGAAGAGTTTGTAGAGCTAGCACATCTAGAGAAAGAACTATTAGAAATTACCCTATCAGTGTCCACCCCTGCTCACGAGCTGTTGCTAACTGCCCATAGGGTTAAGGGAGGTGGTGTAACAATATCAGGACGTGTCATCGAAGCTACACTGATAGTGTTAAACATGCAAGACTTCGATGTCATCTTAGGTATGGATTGGCTAGGTGAGAATCGCGTTTTGATAGATTGTAAGACTCGAGTAGTAACTCTCAGGCTCCCATCAAGGGACAACTTTACCTACAAAGGAGCCAGTTCCAAGGGTGTCCCAAGCGTCATAACATCGTTAAGGGCTAGGAAGCTGATTCGTAGTGGCACAAGTGCATTCCTAGCTAGCGTGACCTTAGACAATAGTAACAAATCGTCAGGGAGTTCGTAGATGTCTTTCTGGAGGATCTGCCAGGTTTGCCCCCAGCTAGGGAAGTCGATTTTGGGATCAATTTAGAACCAGGAACTGTGCCGATCTCCAAGGCACCTTACAGGATGGCACCTGCAGAACTTAGGGAATTGAAGGAACAGTTACAGAAGCTGTTGGATAAGGGTTTCATCCGGCCCAGTGTATCACCCTGGGGAGCCCCGGTTATGTTTGTCAAAAAGAAGGACGGGTTCATGCGGTTGTGTATTGATTACAGAGAATTAAACAAGGTCACTATAAAGAATAGGTATCCTCTCCGAGAATTGACAACCTGTTTGATCAGCTACAGGGAGCAGCAGTCTTCTCCAAAATTGACCTAAGGTCGGGGTATCATCAGTTGAGGGTCAGAGAAGGGGATATATCCAAGACAACTTTCAAAAGTCGTTATGAACATTACGAGTTTCTCGTTATGTTCTTTGGCCTTACCAATGCACTAGCAGTATTCATGGAACTAATGAACAGGGTGTTTAAGGAATTCTTAGACATCTTTGTCATAGTGTTCATCGACGACATTCTGGTATACTCTAAGTCAGAGGCAGATCATGAAATACAACTAAGAAAAGTCTTGACAATACTGAGAGCCCAGCAGTTGTATGCCAAGTTCTCTAAGTGTGAGTTTTGGTTGTCTGAAATTGCATTTCTGTGTCATGTGGTGTCAAGCAAGGGGATTACGGTGGACCCAGCTAAGATAGAAGCAGTGATGAGGTGGCCACAGCCGACCACAGTCACAGAGGTGAGGAGTTTTCTGGGGCTAGCTGGATATTACAGAAGATTCGTTTAGGATTTCTTCAAAATTTCCTCAGCGCTAACCTAGCTAACCAAGAAGGGCAAGCCCTTTGCTTGGACTCTAGCTTGTGAACAGAGTTTCCAAGAACTCAAGAAGAGGTTGGTAACCGCACCAGTCCTTATAGTTCCAGACGGGTCAGGTAATCTCGCGGTGTACAGTGATGCATCAAGGAAAGGTTTGGGATGTGTGCTCATGCAGAATGGTAA